GTCCGACTTCGGATTTACTTGCATACGGAATTAGGCCATTAATCATTCGACTATGGGGCTTCAGTGTATTAAACCAGAGCCCGTATGCAAATGAGATCCTCACATGGTGATTCCTAACCCTTCCAAGCTAAACAATAGAGGGCTTATATGACTGGCCCAGGGTTTCCAGTAAATGGAAGCGGATTGTGTTACTTATTCCTTTTGTTGCACTCAACTCGATTGTAAGATCTAAGAGACTTCTACTGTTACTCATGAACTCCAGGACTTTCGTCTGTGTAGCGGGTACTTATGTTCCAAAACGATCCCTTTATCAAGGAGAATGCGAATTCCAAAGCTCGCGATCAAACGAATCGCGTTTGAAACGGAAAACACGCAGAGCTAGAGAATTATCCCAAACCCCGTTCCTATTGGGCGATAACGCATGAAATAACAGCCTATTTTCTTCGACTTTAAGAATGTTCTAGTGTATTATCGCCAGTAACACCAAATGTTCCCTTTCTTCAAATAAAAAAACAAACGTTTTCTCTTTTAAGATGTGTCATGCTTTACTCTTACCCACTAATACTTGTATCAGTACTCAACATTTACGATGACAAAAAAGCAACAAATTTCCCAGATTTTGTCTATTCTTCAATTTCGTTTTGTCGGAAATAATGCACGGAGATTATCATTGAACATATGCAAGAAGTTAAATAACAAATCAGTCTAAAGTGAGGAGAGAGACAGCGAGAGTAAGAGAGAAGTAGAGAGAGAGAAAGAGAGAAAGAGAGAGAGAGAGAGAGAGAGAGAGAGAGAGAAAGAGAGAAAGGGAAAAAAAGAAAGAGCAATGCCAGTATGTAAGTAGGTCTGTTTGCACAGCGTCCATCAAAATAGAATTTATGCCCTGCTTTGACGTGAAATGCCTGTCGTGAGAAAATTGGGGTGAAAGAGAGAAATTAGAATTGTACCTGGTTAAATACATATGCAAAATGCTCAAATTAATAGAATAGTATTGAGTAGATAGCTAGATTTATAAACAGTTAGATTTTTAGATAGTTACGAAGACAGATGGATAGATAAAGAGAGATAGGGTTAGAGATAGAGATGGGGATAGAGACAGAAGGGGAGAGAGGAGAAAGAGAGAGAGGGATGGGGAGGCAGTGAGGGAGAAAGAAAAAAGAGAGAGAGAGAGAGAGAGAGAGAGAGAGAGAGTGAGGGAGGGTGTGAGGGAGAGAGAGAGGGAGAGNAAAGAGAGAGAGAGAGAGAGAGAGAGCTGAGAGAGAGAGCTGAGAGAGAGAGCTGAGAGAGAGAGAGAGAGAGAGAGAGACAGACAGACAGACAGACAGACAGAGTGAGAGAGGGGGTGAGTGAGTGAGCGACAGAGAGAGAGGAAAAGAGATTCCTTGTTATTGATTGTTCTACGTACAATTTTTATGTATTTGTTTCTATAAATTGGCTTCCAATTCCTGAGGTGTGTTGAATTATAGTAGAAATTCTTTGAATATTGAAATTGATGATCAACGAATGTGATTTTGAACCCTTTCTCATCAATCATCATACGAATACCCAAAGGAAAAAGAATGTACCACACCATTTTATTCTATATTTTTTAAATGTTAATTAGTAAATTTTTGTTTTGATTTTTTTTCAATTGATAGGAAGAAGCAAACTTAGAACTTAAATTGTTATACGAATTGAGATAGTATATTTTGTATGGTTTGCGATAGCACGACAATTGTTCACGTCAATTCCTTTGTGTTTTATTTATCTCTCTTTTCATTTCCTAAACAATAAAGAAGATTCAATCCGTTTGAAGCGAGCGGAATTTATAAATTGCGAGTAAATCACGGACAAACGAAGAAAACCTCGCGCGAATCTGACGGAAACAGCAAAGTCAAGCGATATTCGGTCCAAGGCCCGATAGATTGCGTCATCAGACCAAAAAATTGCCATATGCCTGACACAAATAAACAGATCGGCGAGTGATTAGTAAGTGGAATGCCAAGGAGGAGGGACTCGCGAGATTAAACAAGTTTTTCCCTCGGCTAAACTAGGCTCCAATAGGGAATATTGTGTTTGTACAGTTGCACAAATAAGTCCGGACGAGGAAATTTAAAAAAAAGATCTAAGCCGATCCGACAATCAGCAGGCAACATTACAAAATCCGTTTTGACGTGTATCTCTCGCTCACCGTCATTACAAATCCGTAATTTTGGAAAATGAAATCCGGTCGAAACTCGTCTGGGAACGGTGCCTGCCGTGAAACCCAGCGGCCTCGACCGCGAATCCGCAAAGAAATTCAACGAATACTTAGAAATCCGATCGATACTTTCACCGCGTAAATCTCCGGGATACGAATATATCGGATATTATTATTCTCGGTAGGAAAGGAACGGTTGCACCATCGCTCGGAAAGAAAATCCTTTCAAGAGGGCCATTCACATGAGGAGCAATCTGGGAGTTATTAGTGCACAGTGGAACACGCATGCATTCTATATGAAAGATCTAGTTAAACTAGTTTTTTACACCAAACTCAGTTAGGGAGCGGAAATGGCTCATTTAAGAACGCGTAAAGAGAGAAACACTTAATCGAGTTCCTTCATAGAACGTTCATCGTTTCTAATATAACTATGTAGAAACCATCCAGCTCATTTCATCAACATGGAATCATTTGCATGGATTATTTATTTCAATGAAAAAAATCCTGATTAAAATAAGACATGGTAAAATGTAAAAAATCCACACTTGGACAATTAAATAACCAATAGCATTCTACAATCAGATAATCCAACAATAGAAAACCTTCAAAAACCACCATAAAAAAACACATAAAAAACGACTATTTTTTTATCTAGGCGTTTATCAAGAATAATTGTACATCGGTAATGTCGGGAGTACACTCCGTAACTCACGGAAGATTTCCGCCTTTGAAATAGAGCATTTCTCAGAAACAGAACTAGAAATCACACTCGAGCTACTTCGTAGACAATTAAACTTAAAAGAAGATTCGTACAAAGATTAACCACCTTTGGAAAAAAATTACTGAGATAGTACATTTTTTAAAATTTTAAATAATTCTACCAAAATATTGATGCCAATTGAAAATGGACTATTGTTTCTAATATTCCTGTCTTTCGTGAAATGTTTTATTTCACACTATAGTTATCTTATTTAAATTTTTTTAAACATTTCAGGTCATTCAGTAAGATTTTGGTCATAATTAATGACGGAATAAATATACAAAATATCCTAGATAATGAATAATAAGTAATAAATAATAAGTAAGGAATAATTAAAAAATGGTTCGAGTTATGTAATACACCAAAAACAAATTTAATTTAAAAAATCTTAATACAAACAATATATTATGTATAAATATTACGATGATGATCTGATTTTTTTCCGTCTCCATCTTTGGTTTCAATCATGAACATTTTATTTTATTTTACTTGTTCTATCTATCATTGGCCACAAATACTGAAGATCTGAATAGTTTAAATATAAATAAAACTTAATAATTGTACTATCTATACCTTCAAAAATTTGGACTAACTACAGTGTGAAATATATTCATTTAAAAGGATCGTAATTAAAATGTATTAATTTTTTTCCTATTTCGCTCTCTCTCTCTTTCCTTCTCTCTCTCTCATTCTCTAAGGGTTATGCTTGTCGGTTCTCTTTTTCTCGATTTCTTTTTATATCTCTATCTCACTCAATTTGTCTGTCTGTCTGTCTGTCTGTCTGTCTGTCTCTCTCTCTCTCTCTCTCTCTCTCTCTCTCTCTCTCTCTCTCTCTCTTTCTCTCCCCTTCTGTCACTACATCTTTCTATCTTTATATTTCTTCCCCCCCCCTCTCTCTCTAATTTCTGTCTCTCTCTTTATTTGCCTCTATATCTTACTTTCTGTTTCTTTTTTTCGCTCTACATATATTTCCGTCTCTCACTCTCTCTATCTATTATCACTCGCTCTTTCTCTCCCCTTCTGTCACTACATTTTTCTATCTCTTTGTTTCTCCTTCTCCCTCTCTCTCTCTCCCTGTCGGTCTTTCTGTCTCTCTCTTTATTTGCCTCTATATTTTACTCTCTGTTTCTTTGTTTCGCTCTATATATATTTCGGCCTCTCTCTCACTCTCACTCTATATATCTATCTGTCTGCCTTTTCCTCTCTTTCTCTCATTCTCTAAGGTTTATATTTGACCAAACTCTAGATAAAACTGCGTTCGTTCATTTATCCCCTGTGTCTTTCTCTCGTTTTCTTTCCGTATCTCTATCTCATTCTATTTGTCTTTTTCTTTGTCTCTCTCTCATTCTCTCTCCTCGTATGTCAGTACATCACTCTTTCTATCGCTTTGTTTCTCTCTCCTTCTTCCTCCCCCTCCCTCTCGTCCCCTTTATCTCTCCCTCTCACTCTACTTTCTCTCTTTCTGTCGCTTTGTTTCTCTCTCTCTCTCTCTCTCTCTCTCTCTGTCTCTCTGTCTCTCTCTATCAGTCTACCTCTACCATTCGGTCTCTCACTCCCTCTCTCTCTCTGTCTCTTTCTTTCTCCATCTTTCGAGATCTCTCTCTGTCTCTCTGAAATTTAGCAATTTATTTTCAAAATCAATATTATACTGTTAACAACTTTTTTTATGGTTTCGGCAAATTTATGTCGTAATCATGCAACATTTTATTATATGAAATTTTTTTAAACGTTTTTATTACGTTATACTTATTATTATATTACAATTATACTTTTTGTTTTTAAAATTAATTTAAAAACTACAATAAGAAATGTTGACAATTTAAAAACATGTTATAGCAAGTTCGGCTTATTTTCGGGTTTTTCATTTCTGAGTGTTTGTCGAAGTTTGTTTTAAAAATGAAGTGTACAAAAGGGTTAATAAATATTTAAAAAAGGAGGTATTATCGGTTTTTTATCCAGGATCTGAGGCCTGGAGTTTCACACTGGAGCCTAAATAATATTAATAAGACTAAAGTCCAATTTTTTAAAAAAATATTTCGGGTCCCAACATAAAATATTTACCGTCTCCGTCGGGTCGGTAGACAAACTTTTTATAGACTTCCGCTCGAGTGAGAATCCCTCTTGAAAGGGAACATACCACGGAATCTGTACTGACAAAACAGTAGTAGACCAGTTGAATATCGGAAGTATTTCTTATTTCCCCTCACCTGTAACAAAAATAAATACACGGATTAATAGACTGTAGAAAAACTAACTCACATGGCAAGAAAATTGTTTCTAAGACATGAATGTTTGTAACGTCATTAAATAGCCAGGGAGATATTTTACACGGAAAACAATAGGGTATAGCTATTGAATTACAAACCCCCATTCATGTGTGTTCTTGGGAAAAATGATTACTAAGAAGCCTTTTTAATTGTTCGGTGATTTAGATCATTCCCGAGAAAGATGCTGTCCGGCTTGATGATATATAAAGTTTAATTACCATACTTAATTGTTAACATTGCCGAGATAAGATTCACGATATGCCCAGTAAAAAGATGTGTTAAGAAAGAATTAAATTAAAAAAATATATATATTCTCATAATGGTCACAACCTTGATTTTAAATTGTGAAAGTCATAACGGTGGTTTAACTTTTTATTTACAAGTTATCTATCAACTTCAGGCCAATTCTTTCGTTTGTTACTTGCATAATTTTCACCAAGGACCAGTTCAAGAAAAAAAAAGAAAAATTACAAAAAGTAATGCCAATAATAAAAGTTTATTTTTCTTTATTTCTTTCTACGTCTCTTACAACTAAGTGCATCACAAATTCGATAATTCATTTCACGAAAAACGGATTTGTTAAAAAAAAAACAACTCTGTTCTGAAATGTAGAAAAAAAACTTGATTGGACTTAATTTATTATTGAATTATTCATGAAGCGGGCAGAGCAGTTAAAGTAAAGCAAAGGAGTTATTTTGACGATCTTACTGATAGAGGAAAGTGGTTGAGAATAGGCCTTCCGCGTGTGCTAAATCGTTCGCATTCTAGAAAGGAGAACGTCTTTAAAATACACCTGTATACTAATACATATAATCAATTCAAAATATATATTTTCAAAAGATTCCAGTGAATTATTTAATTAATTATTTCACTGAAAAAATTTAAAAATTATGACAGAGGATCATTTTCTTATGCAGATGGAAATTGTGTATAGCTTGTAAAATAAACAAAATTTAATCGATTGTATTGTTTGTTTTAATTTCTCACCCAAGTCTACACAAGCTTCACTTACGTTACAAAACACATATCAACAATTGAGAAATGGAGCAATCTTTGCAAAATTAAGTTAACCCCGCAATGTCAAAACATATCACTTTTTCGCTCCGTCTGAGACTTATCTTAGCACGTACTTGTTCAATGAACCAGTTTCTCAATCCGGCAAAGTTAACTATTGAGGACTTACATTTGATAGAAGACCAACTTGGAATCCACACACGCCATACTCGACAAATAATTTAAAATTCTTTATTACCTACTCAAGCCTACTTGGATGTACGGGTGCCAAGCTTATGAATCGGCCAAATATTCCAATATTGAAAATTTACAAAGTTTTCAATCAGAATTTGAAGACTAATTGTTTCTGTCCCTTTTTACGAAAGCAATAACACACTTCACAGACATACACATGCCAACGGTTTTTTCATCCATCAAAACATACGTTTTCATAGTAAATTACAAAATCACATTAACATAGTGTACGATTACTCCATTCCATCCAATTATCACGTAAACGTCTGGAAAGAATACGGATAAGAGACCTCTTAAATAATTAATATCATTTTATTAATACAGAGCGGCTGCCAATGGGTAGCTGTCTCTACAACGTCCGTAATGCCACAAACATAAATTGAAATCCAATCTGCTGGCTGTATATAATACATGTTCAGCTACAGATAAATAAATGAAGTAAAAAAATTCTCTCCCTACAAAACCCTGTGAATGACATAATAGATCAAAAGTATGAATAATCAATAAGGAACGGAGTGCTCCTTACTAATTTACTCTTTATAATTTAATGTATTTAACATAAGGCTCTGTCGCAGGTTTTTAAGTATGAAGATCGTTTTATTTACTTCATAGATTAACGTATTGTTAGGCGTAAGCACATAGGTTGAGAAAAGTGCCCGATAGCTTTTAAAGTCCCGGGCATATCCACCTCACTGATTCCACTATATTTAACTTTTAAAAGTAGATAATTTTGTATTTTAGGACTTATTTTTTATATATATATGGATGTTTCGAAGTATGCAGATCATTATGAACAGTTTTTTGTGCAAATCTATGTACAACTTTTCCTCCGTTTGTTAGCTGTTTGCCAATAGAGAAAAGAGGTTCAGCATAGTTGCTAATAGAGAATTCAGCATAATCCTTCCACGTGCATTTTAAATATTCTTCTTCAATGATTTTAATATATTTAAGTATTGAGTTGCTTTGTTTTTGAGCTTATACGTTATATCTGAAGCCTAGGGAAGAAGTAGGTAAGTCGATTTATACGGAAAATGAGATAATTCGTTTTTCAAATTGAGAAAAGCCATATCTTTGTTTGGGAGAGTGGGTAACCTGCCATCCTAAGCCCATGAGTATATAATGTTTTATGGTTTGTGCATTGTTGAGTATTTTAGAGTTTTAGAACTCACTTGAAATTTTTCTTCGTAAGAATTAATAAAAACTTAGTAAATCAACTTGCCTACAAATAAGATGAACTCACGTTTAAATTTAGAGAAAATTAACCTAAATGTTTCTCCTATCACAGGTAGAGACAATTTGACATCTCTAAATCCATCCTATTTTTGTAATATATTTTTTGCCTTGAAATGCTATGTATGTAATTGGGTAAGTCTTGGTTTAGCCAAAATTTGAAAATTTTGGTGCAATTTGTTGACACGCTCAAATATATGAATATACCTACAATAAAAATTAAAATCTGAATAAATACACGATTTCGAACAAAGGTGGATGCTTCAAAAGTGTTTATTTTCAACTTTCTTGCTTCTTCCTTGTTGCTACAGTTAAAATGAAGTCAGTTTGAAGTATGAAGATCATTTTTACACAATTATTATTATTTTACTGTTTCAAGTCTATCATTTTCTCTGACGTCTTTCTTTTATTTTTCTGGTTTTTATTTGTTACAACTATCGTAACGTGAAACATGAACTGTTTTCAACATGATGATTGAAATGATGGATTGTATGATTTAAAAATGTGTGTTGATTAGTGACCGTTTATCGATATTTATTTAGAAATCGTGAGATGCGGTCTGGTGTGATGTAGGATTCAGAAAAACATTTTCTTTATCGTGCCAACGTTTCGATCTTTATTGAGATCATCTTCAGGGCTCAAAGTGTTTTTCTTCTGTGTAATTGTGCCATTCTTGCGTGTCGTGTACTTGGCACTGTCGACACGACACGCAAGAATGGCACAATTACACAGAAGAAAAACACTTTGAGCCCTGAAGATGATCACAATAAAGATCGAAACGTTGGCACGATAAAGAAAATGTTTTTCTGAAACCTACATCACACCAGACCGCATTTCACGATTTCTAAATTTAAAAAAAGAAAAAGAAAAAAAGTATGATTTAAGAGAGAATCTGCACATCAGAACTGCACAAAAAATCCAATCTCAATTCGAACTTAAAAATTTTAGAGGCCATATAATATAAGAATGTGGAATGATTGCAAAATGTCGCAAAAAAATTACGGGCCCCGTTCTCTTGTAATATTTGTTTAAGAGGTAGTTCCACGAGAGCAAGACGAGTATTGGGATTGACTATAAAATCAAACGACATTTCATTAAGATGATATTTAATGTAATGAAAACAACAATAAAATCGTCTCGCCATGTTGAGTATTGTTCACCAATTCCGTTCAACAATTGCGGTCTGCCCCCGACGTTTGATTTACTGTGAATCCAGATACTCTCTCCGACATCACGATCCGGATAATTGCCCTCCCGATTCCGTAGAGTCCAGGGCAACGATTCCAGGGGTCGTTGGCGTTTCAATCGATGAAGTAATAAAAAGCAATTGTGCTCAGGTGAAGCCGATGCGTGTCTGTTAACAAGTGAGCATTGTATATCAATTGCCCTACAATTAGACTAATCATTGAACCGGCCGTTTAAGGCTGACGGTCGTCAATTAAGTGAAGAATTGACTACAAAACCATCGCAAAAGCGGGTGTAAAATTAACAGCTGCTGTGCAATGAACATCTTTAAAAAAATTTTCATTAAAGTCGTAGAAAAAACATTTCAAAATTCATTCATGGGTTGGACTTTTTTCATAATTGGAATATTCTAACAGGTAATTTGATGTAAAATTGCTTTTTTTTTCTCGAACCCAACACAACATTTTAACGGATATCCATTAGATACTATTAATCGAACGGCTTTCCATGTCTGAGGCAGGTTAAATTAAAAGATTGAGGCTATTGAGCTGAAAACTCGGTGAGTCAGGAGATTCCACGAAGTTATTTTCTCCCTGGGGAATTTCTAGGCGTGTAGCCTCAGACTAACTAATTTTTTCGGCAGAAACACGACGATTTACATTAATGGAGGAAGCGAAAGGCATATCTCATGTGGACTATTTTGTTCTTAAGTCGTACCTATTGTGTCTTCAAGGTAAGTCCTTGGATAAAAATGAGGACGTCCGAACAATAACAGGAAACTATTTCTTATATCTATTTTAGGATTTTGAGGGTCCGTCTGTGCATAAGCGATGAGAGCCTGTTGGCTTTCAGATAAGGGTAGTAGGTCAGGAAGGGGAGGGCATTGATAAGGCAGGGGAGCGAGACCCTCAAGGATCAATACGAGGCCTATAAGTCCTATCCCAATCCTGTTTCAATTGGGCAGGCCTAATTTTATGAAATCCATATTGTAAAGTAAGAATACGTCTCAATGATGGAGAAACTTTGAAGTAATTCGATTCGATCGCTTGTAATTTTCGTACATTACCTATGAGCGATGTACTCTAATATGGATGTACGGGCGGTTCGAAAAACTTTTTGAAACGTAGGTTCTATCGATATTGCAAATAACTCAGTATTGATCACGTATTGGCCGATAACGTGATCAGCTGGGACAAACATTATTGTATTATTACGACACTGCACTGTTTGACTCATCGAAATGTGAGAAATCACAAAGACAAATGATGTCATTGAGA